GAACTCCCCCAAGACTGTATGTTCTGATTGGCACCTCTGGAAAGACCTGGTCTTGACCATGTCCTCTGATAATGCTGATTGGAGCATTTAGACAATACGTCTCTAGAATAAGTCCTCTAAGGAAGATGATCTTCTACCTCACTTGAGCATTTGGGGTGGGACCATGCTGGTAAATCCCCCATGAGTGATTTTCAAGCTTATTGAATTTTTATATTTTTTGGCACTGAGACAATTAGGGAAAAGATTTTGTTTGAAGTGTTTCACGATGCCGGCTCACCCTAATTGTTTCCTGTTGCTGCTGTCTATTTATTTAGGTTAAGCTCCTCCCCCAACCAGCACACCGGTTTAATCAATTCCTAGCCTAATCGCGCCATCTAAATGTCTTGATCTTTCCCCTAACCTTGAGATACTATTTAAGTTCCCACTTAAGAAGGAAACATTTTGCATTTAGTGGAGGAAACTTTGCAAACCCTGTCGCCCTTGTGACTTAAAACAAAAATGGTTGTTTCATCACAAAGGCCCGTGGTCAGTCACCTGTCAAAAGCTCAGATTTAGAGCTGGGCTTCCACATGAACATTTAAATTCCCTCCTCTCTTCCTGGCAGAGTCAGTCATTTCCTCACCCTGAAAAGGACCATCAGGATTTGTGTTGGCATTTCTGGTTCTGTTCCTGGCACCTAAGGAAATTATCAGCAATGAATGAGCTTAGCGCTGGGGTTAGGGAGTTTTGTTTGCTTGCTTTTTGTTTCCACTGGAAAGATTTGGAAAACATCAGGACAAGGAGAAGCCAGTAGAGCTGGTGTGCCCCTCTCTCTAGGCATCTACTGGGAAGAAGGTAAAGCTGTTCATTAGCACCATGCCCTTTTGGATGGAACTAATATCACCCAGAAAGAGAGAGGAGTGTGGTGTCCGGGTTCCGTGGGAAAAATCCAACCGGTGGTGGGATTGACAGATATTGTCAACTGAGTGGTACCGTGGCAGCAGGTGTAAGCCCTGGTAGATGTTAATACCTCATTAACGGCGCAAGGATGCGTCCTTTAGTGGGCGCATCAGGGATCAAGAAAGACAAACGAGGAAGATAAAGAAGGAAGGGAGATCTTGCCGGTAGGATTTTGTTCTCCTCCTTTTGCTCCCCAAGCATCCTCTAGTGCGGTTATTCACATGCAGCTGCTGAAGGTTTCCGCTTGTCTTTCCTGTCTACTGAAAAGCACAGCAACTTCATCTGCTGCCAGGTAGGCAGTGGAGGTGAGAACTGAATTGATCGCAAATGCTCCGAGAAATTGACCCTGAGGTCATCTTCCCTTAAATTGGGCTCCACACACAAAGTTTCTTTTCTTCCCTGGGTCCTGCCTACTCCCAGCAGCAGAACTGAGTCGGGGGCTGTAATTATTTAAAGGAATTCTTAGGCACTGGGGTTGACTTTCCCTCTGTACCCTTAATCAAAATAGAGACCTTTTGTTACTGACGGGAGTTAATTAAAGGACTGGCGTCTATACCGCTGTGGTGGACCTCTGGCTTGTTTATATTTTAAAATGAGGTTCGTGCCTGATGTTCATGAAAAGAAGGGACCATAGCTGCTGAGGGGTTACCAACCGTCCTGAACATACATGAGAGCAGAACAGAACAGAACAGAATTTTCTGCTTACCTTGGTAATTTCTCCACCTCCTGTTCCTCCTGTGTTTCCTATTCTCCCCCTTCCTCGTTTCCCCTTACAGTTTTCTCCTCTTCCTCTCCCTCCTTCTACTTCACTCCTTCCCACACCCTGCAATGAAAAACCATAGGTCCCTTTAAAAAAAAAAATCTCAAGACATAAACTGTAGGTTTCACAATGTTGGGATCTCACGCTGCTCTAAGTGAGAGAAAGCACCTGCTGGCCACAGGTTCAGACCTTCTCTGTTCTGCTCATGGAGGGAAGCAGAGAGACCAGAACCTCCTGTACCAATGATGACCTCTGTGAGCTAAGAGCTGCTCTCTCTCCCATGCTCCTGTGGCTAGCTCAAGCTCTGTCTGATGCCCAAAGGCCGTTTCCCTATTATTTTCTTAATGCCTTATTCTCCTCCTGCCCCTCTGCCTCCTCCTCCTGCAGTTTCTTCCTTTAAATCTCTAACAGTTTCTTGTTGTTACCTAATACATTTAAAAAAAAATGCATGGCTGTCACCAATGTCCTCTGGTGCTTTTGGAGATTTTTGCCCTGCAGTTGGGTTTGCATTCCTGGAGTGGACAGGGGAGAAGAGGGACCCTGGGTGTGCAGCGAGGAGCGGAGTGTGCGACCCTGCCTGAGTCTGAGGGCTCGCAGCTGCCTTTCTCTCCAGATGGCCACAGAAAGCCACGCCATGAAAAGCACCTGCTCTGGAGCAGCTCGCTCTTTACCCAGACTCCCTGCCTCTCCGCCTGCTCAGCATCCTGCTGGCGTGGTGGAGCCACACCAGACTGTTCATCCTGATGCTTTCAAAGCCAGGCCTGGTTCGACTGCGTGTCATAGGTGGACATGTAGCATTTTCCAAACCTTCTAGTCTTCAAGGACAGTCATTTGAGGTGTGACGTGTTTTCCTCTTAGCTCTTTTCTTCGTTCGGTACCATCTTATAAGATCCTAGTTGAGCTGCACAAAACACGGCATGCGGGAATGGAGTGTGGCCTAGTCCCAACCTGTCCCTTCAGGTCCGTGGGCAAAGAATGCACACAGCTCCCAAAGCAGGCTTGTAGGGTCTGAGCTGGGAGTTTCAGCCTTAGTCCTGGAAGAGGAGTACACCCAGCCTCCTGCCTAAGAGGAGGAGGGTTCAGAGAGAAATCCTGCAGTGCCATTTGCAGGGAAGGGGAAAAGAAGGAAGAGCTTGCTTACTCTACTTCCTTCGAGTCTCCCTTTCACTTGAAACCAACTGCCACCATCCTGCTGAAGCACTGGCTAGAAGGCAGGGTCGGGGTGCCATTCCTGCAAGGTGGTTGTGCCTGTCTCTTCTTACTGTTTTATTTAACTTGTTAAGCTCCATCTTATTTTTTTGTTGTTGTTCTCTGTGTGTGTACACGTGTGGATTTGTGCATGGGGGTACAGGTGCCTCAGTTGGGCAGAATGGGCTGTCAGTCAGCTCCCCCGGAACTGGAATTACAGGTGATGATGAATCCTCTGACTTAGATGGGAACCCAACTCAGGTCCCCTGGAAGAGCGGTACGCGCTCTTCAACACTGAGCCATCTCTCCAGCCTCTCTGCCCAGCCGGCATTTTCTAGTATCAGACCTATCTTCACCAGGACCATTTTCTTCCACAATAAAACAAAAAAGGGCATCTTGCCACCATTCCCACAGAAAATGGGTGAGAGCCTCACTTTTGGAAAGAGGAGAGACCGTGAGAGCTCCCTGTCAATTCATCAGGAGTTCCCTGCAGAGTGCTTGACAGGACAACGATTCTGGGAAGGCAACTTTTACTGTTTCTTTAAAATTTAACTGGGATCAGGTCACAGTGTACTTTCCCTGGCTTCTCTCCTCACCTCTTCTTTCCTTTTATCTCCGCCGCCCCTTTTTATTCCCACCCCACTTTTTTTTTCCTGCCTCAAGCTGCAACAGAGATTCTTGTAGTTGATAATCAAAGTTTGATATCGTTAAATTAAACTGTGCAAAACTGACTTTGGGGTTTTGCTCATGAAATAAACATTTGAAAAATAGTGTTTACCGAGGAGGAGGCTTGCAAAGTGGCTGCAATACCAGATTCATGTACGCAGATATATAAATATCTGCGTGCATGAATATATATATATATATGTGTGTGTATGGTCTGTTTCGGAGCCTGTTAAAGCCGGTCTTTAAAAAGTATCTTTGTAGACCCAGGCTGCTTCTATACCTTCACCCATGAGGCTATCATGACGAGGACATAAGTACATTGAAATTAGTGACGTTATAATTGGGGATCTAAATGCCACTTGTCATTCGTATTACTGTATCCTATTTCTTCTCAATTATGGCAGCCGTGCATCAAAGAGTCAGAGTGTGTAGCTAGAATTTTCTGTCCAGAAGCTATAGCACGCCTAAGCTTGGAAGCCTTGTTTTCCCCCTTCTCCCTAACAAGGAAGCTCATTTAGAGAGAAATGTTTATGTGAAGTGCTTGTCGGCTGGCATTTTTACTGGTCTACTAACCCAAAGGTAAAATATAAAGCCGTGTCTTTTCCTCGCTGGCTTGTTGTGAGTAGAAGGGTCCCTCCCTTGTTAGCTTGATAAATAATTTCACTAGGGGGACTCGGCTGTGTTTTTATGCTCGCTGTCTATTTTCTGCTTCCCGCAAATAAATTCCTGTACTCAGAGAGTAGTAAAACTCCAAACACGTGGGACTTGCCCGCTTTACTGCTGCTCTCCTGGAATATTTATTTGATCTGGCGTTTTTAATTAATTTTTTAAAGGAGAAGAAAAAGCCGTGATTAGCATCAAACCAAAAATAAGTATTCATCTGTTTTGGGGGGAACCACTAGATTTATACCTGGAAAGACAGATGTTCTGGAAGGCTCTGTATGTTGAACTCTGTCTGATTTGTCGGGTGGAAGGCCAGTGTTATTGACGGGAGTTTTCTCATTACATATTTCCCTCTCTGTCTTTCCAGATTTCATTATTCAGCTGTTAATGGGAGAAATAAATAGGCAGAGGAATCTATCTAGAAGCAAGACTGTGGACAATAACATCTGTACATTTGAAAACAAAAAACTGGTGTGAGAGTGGAAAATGAATTGGTATGAGTGTTATTCCACTCAAATCCTGGGTATTTAGTCTTAGGGTTTATTAACACCAAGACGAGCTTGGTGCAGTACAAACCTCAACAAATATACCCCCAAAACCATTGCAATAAAATAAAGTACAAATCAATACATTCTGTAAATGACCAGGACGCTAAACACAACACATCATAGGTTCACGGCGCAGTGCTAAGTGATGGATGGGGTGAGAGTTCTGATTGTTAGGGAAACAATCATGTGACATTAATGCCAGATGACTTCATTCACTCATCTTTTCTTGTTTTCAGAGAAGACAGTCTGCTTATTCGCCCCTTGTTGCGTGCACACAAACAAGGTTTTATTTTCTGAGATTGGAAACTATTTTTTACAAAGGTACCTTGGACACACTTGCACCCAGGATGTCAGTGCATGTGACGAACATCTTGGAGCCCGAAGCACCTGAGCAGGGGCTTATCTGGATCTCTCCCTTTCAAAGAAGAAGAAAATACACAGAAGGGGCCCTCAATGAGTACCCTGGCATGCGTGGAAATGGACCGTCATGACGTAGGACATTATTTTCTTAAGCAGACACTGTGGGATTTAACGAAGATGTTTCGCTTTGAACTGCTTTAGCTACAGAGATTATGAGAAATATTAAAATGCATACTTCAAGAGCCAGTGACATTTAATATGTGTTAGGGCCACATGGAGGCCACACCTGTTTGTCGGAGTTGGAATAAACATCTGTGCGCTCAAACATCTCACCCAGCCACTTAGAGACTTGAAGGATGTGAAGAGAAGCTGCTGGGGAACAGCGGTCTCCCAGGAGACAGAACCAATGTCATCTTCAGTCCTTTAAACAAGCCCAGCAGCAGGAACTTGCATCCCTTATAAAGAAGTGGAGGGTACTGGGCACGAAGCAATGTAGGGGCCAGGTGACCATTTAGTATAATCTTGCTTAGGTGTCTACCGTGCCACTTCCTCCCCAGTTAGTCTGTCCCCAGCCTTCCTGGGTCACACACTCCAGCCTTTAGCCTCAATTTGTACTGTAAGAACCCAAGCATCCTCGCCTTGGCCTCTTCTCCTGAGCAGGGTCAAGTGTGGCTCAGAGGAAAGAACATATAACGTGATTAGCATCTGGAGGTCCAGAGCCATGATTTCTCACGGTCTTGGCCCCCAAGGACCCTTGTTGGTCTCCAAACAAAGGATTCTGTACTTTGATTTTAGGAACCAATAGCAAAGGCTTTCCCTCTCAAAAATAATGATCGCCATTCCGGCCGCAGTTTGAAACGTAATTGATGACACATCTCCTTAAAACTCTGTAATGTGTAAGGAGTCACTCAGGACCCTGCTGGGCACTGAAGATAAATCGGTGTTGGTAAATCACGCCAACGAAAGCCCTGTTGAATACAAGTTGTCAGAGAAATCGGCACTGGTACTGAAAAGAATACAATTTCCACATCTTGAAGATAGGAATTGTCCCTCAAAGAGGAGCATAAAGGATTAAATATGGTAATATATGTAAAGCACTTGGATTAAATATGTTAATGTATGTAAAACACCTGCACTGGGTAAATACCCCCACCATGTTCGGCAGTGGACAATGTTACATGGGATGAAATTCTGACCTTGACACTTAACAAGCCTTGGTTTACGTTAGAATGACTTTGTGATTACGGTCTTGAACTCCCCTCCCCCCCCTTTGCTTTAAAATAAATGATTTCAAAATCAGAAAACGGAGGTTGGTATAGAACAATAGCTTATGGCTATTCTTTTATTAAAAATCCCATCACCCCTAAAAATATAAAATCATTGTGCTTTGGGGAGCTCTCTGCTCAAATAATTTAGGAAGATTGTGTGTTAAAGATTTAATATTGCTGTCATCCATCTCTGAGCTTTTATATGCTAATATGTATGCCCCGTATACATATTATACTAACACAGATGGCATGCAGTATTTTCCAAACTTGTGTGAACATGGACCCTGATTTTTAAACAACCATTTCCTGTAAATAGCGTTGTGCTGGGGCAATTTTGAAAAAGAAACGATGGTTTGCCTAAAGTATTAAAGTCCTGACATTTCTTTCATTTAGCACTAAGGAGCCCTTTTATTAATTTTCCCTGGTGAAAACCTTGTCCTCAGTGATTCATCTGCATTCTACGTGTTCATTTTGCTCATCAGCCCAGAACAATTGTATATAATCCCATCTGCAGTCTGCAGTGTATACTCCAGGAGAGGAAACTATGATGCGGGGGTGGGGGAGTCAATCCTATAGGGCGGTGCCATAAAGAGTTCCAGGAGTTGCCCCGCCTTCCTGGGCTCCCCAGGAGATCTCAGGAGTTCAGTTTGGGATCCTTTGCTTGTTTAGCACACCCAGAGGCCTTGTTTAACTTGACTTAGCCTTTTGTGACTAGAGGAGCCATCCAAGGGACTTCAAGCTTCTGCATGGAATACATAATTGCCCAGGGTTCTGGCCAGAAAGTCTGCAGCTGTGAAAGCTGCCTTCAGTTTAGGGTTCATTTATTAAAAGGATGGAGATATGTCCGGCAACGTGAATACAAGATGGCTTGGGTGAGAACTGGGAGTGAAGGTTCACTGTCTCTGACCCTCTTATTAGTGCCTCTGCCTTGGGGGATGGATCCGGCCTTCACCCCTCCCCCGCAAGCTCACCCCAACTATGTCCTTTGTTCTTAAGGCCCCATCAGAGCTTACTGGACCCTACAGGTTCCCCGACTCAAGAAAAGAACTGACAGGCTTATCTAACACTGGATGAGCCATAGCTAAAAAAGGGTCTTTAGGGCCAGCTTCTTAATCAGATTTTTTTTTTTTGAGACACGGATTGGATGAGATTAACACAGTGTTCTGGTTCCAATATGAGAGATTAAAATCAGTACTCAGTACATGTACACCTGCTTTGGAGGCTTGGGTGAAAGGGGTTGGGCACGAGCAGATCTCTGAATCTAGAAGATGGGGTTGTCAGTCCCGGATGTTCCTGGAAGGGAGTGGGGCTTTCGAAACATTAATGTCCCATCTCACACATCAATTAAATCAGAACCTCAAGGAGTGGGTGTGAGCTCAGGCATCAGTGGTTTTGTTTTTCCTAAACAATTCCAAGGCATTCCAGTATGGAAAGGGGAATGAAGAGTCCTGGAAAGGATGCAGGGGGCACCAGCATCTACAGAAAATGCAGAGAGCCCAGCAGCCCTGGCAAAGCTCCCACATTCTTGTCCTTCTGACAAGTCAGCATCTCCCAGGTCCAGTTTCAGATGAGGAAGGCAGAACAATCGCTTTGTGTTCCCCACTCCATCTGGCCTCCTCAGGCCTTTAGAAACATCCACTCTATTCATGATGAGCAAGGCCAATGCAGTCAGATAAGGTCCCTTGGGGAAAGCAGACTAAGGTTGGAAGCCTCCAATTTAAACCTGACTTGGCCCCAGCATAGCTCCAGGATGTAGGTGGGTCCCATTCCCCTGACTGACTTTTGGGATCACATGTCACAAAATGTTCTTTAAAAAGAGATGCAGAAAGAAAAGGAAGGAAAGAAGAAAGGAAGGAAGGGAAAGAAAAAAGAAAAGAAAAAAGGGTGAGGGAGTGTAATTGACCTAGGAGCCAAGGAAGGTTATGCAATCAGGTAGGCACCTAGCAGCTCACAAATTTTGTGGTGAATTGAAGAGAGAGGATTTGAACCAGTGGAATGGTAAACTTTTTACACTGGGATGCTTTTACAAAATGATCTGTGCAGAAGAGAAAATTCTTATTCATTGATCAAATGAAAAATATAGATGCATTCTCAACTTATTTGTACCAGCTTTTGCAGACACCAATGACACCTATCTTGTCTGTCATCATTCCAAGAGGCACTTAAGTGTGTAGTAGGGACTACTGTACAGGCAAGTTCAAGGAGAATGGTGCCCTCTTGGATTAACCAAAATGTTTGACCACATGATGCCAGGTTCCTTAATTCTCTATCGAGGACAGATACACATGTGTGCTTGTGCTTGCACACACACACACACACACAGAGAGAGAGAGAGAGAGAGAGAGAGAGAGAGAGACAGAAAGAGAGAGAGACCTATGTTGAAGATACTCATTGCTCTACCTTGTAAGAAGCTGGGCCTGTAAAAATCTCCTCTACTCTTGGATGCTGAGATCACGTGAGAGGGCAGTCCATACCTTATACGTTCTTGTGTTCAACACAACCCTGTGCTATGATGCATCGGGCACACACATGGACCACAGCTCGGAGCTTTTCGAGCAAAGCACAGGTCTCCCTGAATAAGCCAATGGCTAACCAAACAAGCACACCAGTGTGTGATCACAGTCCTTAGAAGTTTGCGAAAAGTCCAAGATGGCGTCTTTGCAACCTGCTCAAACCTAGAGAGCGTCCTAACTCTCTTCTAGCTTTTCAAAAGTCCCCTGATCTGGCAAATGCCTGTGTGTTTTGTGGAGAAAGTTTTCCTACCTGGACAACACTCTGAATGTCCTTTATTTTTATATGTATTTAATTTAGCCAGTTAGCCTGGTCTCTGCCTTGTTAGCACTGACATCACAAGTGTGTGTTACTACACCTGCTGTTGTTGTTGTTTTGTCCTTGCAAGGCACTTACAGTTGCAAAGCAAGCACATTACCAACCCAGCCCCCACCCTAGCAGGTGATTTCTTTTCGAGATCTATTGACAAAGAACTTTTTATTTTGACTGTGTGGCCATCAGGAATGTACATTTCAAGTATTTTTAGTATTGAATTAGACAAAGAGAAAGTGCTGTTTCCATCCCAGAAAATGGATGTCCTGTTGGAGATTCATCTAGAACAAACAGAGGACTTGGGCATGTGTGTGTGGATCTGCAGAGGACCTGTGAGGAGGGAAGCATTATCTCCAACACAGTCCAGGAGAAGGAGGTGCTGCTGGGCTCAAGAAGGAATTGGCAGGTCAGCCAGGAAGTAAATGTGGACTACAAAGCAGGAGAGAGGAAGGAATAAAGGAAGGAAAGAAGGAAGGAGCAGGAGAGAGGAAGGAATAAAGGAAGGAAGGAAGGAATAAAGGAAAGAAGGAAGGAATAAAGGAAGGAAGGAAGGAAGGAAGGAAGGAAGGAAGGAAGGAAGGAAGGAAGGTGGCTGGAGACCTGGACTATTGCTAGCATCCCTCCTCTCTGTTTTCACCTAGAACCTATTCCCAAGTGACAACCCATCCAGGCAGCCCACCTTCTTGTCTGCCGACTTCGCTCCACGCTTTTTCACCAGGTAAAGGAGCACTTGTGCGTTCAGGGCCGGTGCTCTGTCACTTTTTTCTGTACTGTCTGCCTTGTCACGGTTCACGGTATTGAGGAGAAGAACAGGAGGGGCGTTTCTTCAAAGAACTACGTGGGGATTTGGTCATGTGTCTGCCATTAACATCCATCACAGATGCCTGGGCAGAAATGCCTGGCACGTTCTCACACGTTTCTCTTTGAATACCGTCCCCTCTGGGGTTGCTACCAGACTCCCCTCCGCTGATACAGGATTTGGGGGCTTTGAAGTCAGTTGTGGGAATTTCACTGCTTTCTTTGACTCTAGCAAATTGCTCCAAAATGCTACAAATGTAGAAGAGACTAAGAAAGCTTTAACTGCAGCTTAGAGATGGAATCCCCTTAAGCCATTGACAGAAAAATGTGTTTCTTCTTTCAGTTTTTAATTTGTGAGTTATGTCTTAAAATACAACAATGCAGTCTTAGTCTTCCCCTAGGTGGAGAAAAGAGAACCGAGAGGAAGGTGGTGCGCAAAGGGGATGGATTGGCAGCGACAATTATTTGACCTTGTTGCCTTTAGGGGAAACCTCTGAGTGGAGGGGAGACTGCCTACAAAGAAATCATAGACAAGAGCAACGTGGGGTGGGCGCATTCCCAGCATCCATTATGATGTGAGTGACAGCTGAGACAAGTGCCCAGTGCCCAGTTCACAGGCAGCAGTGGAGGACACAGAGGGAAGGCTCGTTCCCTCCTTAGAGCCAGAGGATTGTGTTCCTAGCATACTTCAAATTTGTCTTAGCCCTTTCCCTCATGGGGGTGGACGCAACTGGGCTATACTGCATTTTTTTTTTTGAGAAATCCCTCCAAGTTATTTTAGCCTGGTAGTATCCGAACACTCCAGCGGGTGAGAAGCGAAATATGGAGTGGTCGAAATGACCGCTAGCAGCTCCCCAGGCTTCAGTTACCGACTCCATAAATTTAAGGATTTGGCATGGCCCAGAGGTTTTCAAACTCATTTTTATTTTGTTTGGTTTCAGCAGAGGAACCGTTTGTAAAATGAGAGTTTATGTGAGATCACCATATAAAAGAGAGATGGGAGCTGCTGAGTGGAGCTGGCGCTCTAGGATGCTGGCCTTTCTCCCTCTCAGTCATCCACAGTCCCTGTGCGGGTCCAGGCTCCCTATGGACCACTGAGGTCATCTTTGGGGAATTATTCTCTCTAGGGCATTCTTAGCTCAGCCAGCCTCTGATGTGAAAACCAAGCCCTTCATTTTCCTGCTGGAGACACTCGGGCTCTCCTAAGTGGAGAGACGACGGTGCAGGCACACAGGTCAGGCCTTCCTAGTCTTCTGACTTTGGCCAAGTTTCTACCATTCTCCACATCTCTCATTTTCTAATCTTTCATAGGGAGACGGGTGTCACAAAGAGCCCTGTGGGATTTCTGTAAGTGGAATGACCCAGTAGAGATGGCATCTAGGAAATGCCCAGCTCTGTCAGTCAGGGGCAGCAGAAGTGACCAATGGTGACCTTGTCTCCTTTGGCTCAACGCAAACACACACTGACTTTCTATTTTGCAGATGCCTGTGCCTTCCTTTCTTACTGTCCCATACCTGGTTCTTCACCTTTAACCCATCACGCTGAAAGAAAGCTTTCCTCTTTACAGCATGCTGGGCTGTGATTCCATGCTTAGCCTTACGCAGAACAGATTCGCCGTAGACGTTTGCCGGATTGACTCCCCGCATTATGCTCGCAACTGTATCGATGGCTTTGTGAGAGCAAACTGTATGCGTGTTTCCTCAGTCCCATATTCCGGAACTAACACAGATGGCCTGAAACTGGCCGTGGGGATATTTGCGAGAGAGGACAA